CAGCAAATATAAGAAAATAGGAAGAATTCCCTGCATTCTATCTGATCACAATGCATTAAAACTAGAATTCAACAACAAAAACAACAGCAGAAAATATGCAAACAATGGGAAGTTGAACAACACATTGCTCAATGATCAGTGGGTCATCAATGAAATAAAAGAGGAAATTAAAAGGTTCGTGGAAGTTAATGAAAATGAAAACATGACCTACCAGAACCTATGGGACACAGTAAAGGCAGTCCTATGAGGAAAGTTTATAGTCATGAGTGCATATATTAAAAGGACAGAAAGATCTCAAATCAATGATCTAATACTACAGCTCAAACTCCTAGAAAAACAAGACTAAGCAAAACCCAAAACAAGCAGAGAGAAGTAATGAAAAAAAAAGGCAAAATCAATGAAATAGAGACCAAAAAACAAAAAAAAAAACCAAAACCATACAAAGAATCAACAAAACAAAAAGCTGGTTCTTTGAAAAAATAAACAAGATTGACAGATCCCTGGCAAATCTGGCTAAAATGAGGAGAGAAAAAACCCAAATCAGTAAAATCAGAAATTCAAAATGGGAGATAACAACAAACACCACAGAAATCCAGGGAATCATCACAGACTACTTTGAGAACCTATATTGTTATAAATTTGAAAATCTTGAAGAAATGAACAAATTTCTAGATACTTATGACCATCCAAAATTGAACCAAAAGGATATTAACCACCTAAGTAGATCTATAACATGAAATGAAATTGAAGTAGTGATAAAGAGTCTCCCAAAAAAGAAAAGTCCAGGACCTGATGGATTCTCAGCTAAATTCTTTCACCCCTTTAAAGAAGAACTAACACCAACTCTCCTTAAACTTTTCCATGAAATAACAAGGGAAGGAATACTGTCTAACTCATTCTCTGAAGCCAGTATTACACTCATCACAAAACCAGACAAAGACACATCCAAAAAACAGAACTACAGGCCAATCTCCTTAATGAACATCGATGCAAAAATCCTCAGTAAAATAAATGCAAACTGAATCCAACAACATATCGACCAAGTTGGCATCATTCCAGGGATGCAGGTGGTTTTGCATACCCAAATCTATAAATGTAATATAGCACATTAATAGAAGAAAATACAAAAACCACCTGAACATCTCAATAGATGCAGAAAAAGCCTTTGACAAGATTCAACACCACTTCATGATAAAAGCTCTAAGAAAATGAGGAATAGAAAGAATGTACCTCAACATTATAAAGGCCATATATGATAAATCTATAGCCAACATCATACTTAATGGAGAAAAACAGAAAACATTTCCCCTAAACTCAGGAATGAGACAAGGGTACCCACTCTCCGTACTCCTATTCAACATAGTACTGGAATTCCTAGCCAGAGCAATTAGGCAAGAAGAAGAAGTAAAAGGAATAGAAATAGGTAAAGAAATAGTCAAAATATCCCTATTTGCAGACAACATAGTCCTATACCTCAAAGACCCAAAAAACTCTACCCAAAAACTCCTAGATACCATAAACAGCTTCAGCAATGTGGCAGGATACAAAATCAACTTACAAAAATCATTAGCTTTTCTATACATCAACAATGAACAAATTGAGAAAGAATATAGGAAAGCAATTCCATTTACAATAGCCTCAAAAAAAATCAAATACCAAGGAGTAAACTTAACAAAGGATGTGAATGACCTCTATAAGGAGAACTACAAATCTCTGAAGAAAGAAAAAGAGGAGGACTATAGAAGGTGGAAAGATCTCCAGTGCTCAAGGATTGGCAGAACCAACATAGTAAAAATGGCTATACTACCAAAAGCAATATACATGTTTAATGCAGTTCCCATCAAAATCCCAATGACATTCATCACTTAGATTGAAAAAATCTACCCTAAAATTTGTTTGGAAACACAAGAGACTGCAAATAGCCAAGGCAATACTTGGTAAAAAGAGCAATGCTGAAGGTATCACAATACCCGACTTCACACTATATTACAGAGCTGTAGCAATAAAAACAGCATGGTACAGCACAAAAACAATATAAAGCCCAGTGGAACAGAATAGAGGACCCAGATATGTATCCACACAGCTATGTCCACCTTATTTTTGACAAAGGTGCCAAAAAATATACAATGGAAAATAGACAGCCTCTCCTACAAATGTTGCTGGGAAAAGTGGTTATCTGCCTGTAGAAAACTGAAACCAGATCCATGCCTATCACCCAGTACTAGTATCAACTCAAAATGGATCAAGGTCCTTAATATCAGACCCAAAACTCTGAAGCTAGTACAGAAAAGACCAGGAAATACTCTGGAAGCAATAGGCATAGGCAAGGACTTCTTCAACAGAACCCCAACAGCTCAGCAACTAAGAGAAAGAATGAACAAATGGGACCACATGAAATTAAAAAGCTTCTAACAGCAAAAGAAATGGTCTCTAAATTGAAAAGACCACCCACAGAGAGGGAGAAAATATTTGCTAGCTATACATCAGACAAAGGACTGATAACCAGAATATACAGGGAGCTCAAAAAACTAAATCCCCCCCAAAATCAATGCACCAATAAAGAAATGGGCAACTGAACTAAACATAACTTTTTCAAAAGAAGAAATCCAAATGGCCAAAAATCATGTGAAAAAATGCTTACCATCTCTGGCCATAAAGGAAATGCAAATCAAAACCACACTAATATTCCACCTCACCCCGGTTAGAATGGCTATCATCAAAATCACCACCAACAATAAATGTTAGTGAGGTTGTGTGTAAAGAGGAACCCTCATACACTGCTGGTGCAAACTAGTACAACCACTCTGGAAAACAATATGGAGGCTTCTTAAAAAATTAAACATCGACCTGCCATATGATCCAGCAATCCCACTCCTAGGGATATACCCAAAGGAATGTGACACAGGTTACTCCAAAGGCACCTGCACACCTATGTTTTTATTGCAGCACTATTCACAATAGCCAAGTTATGGAAACAGCCAAGATGCCCCACTACTGATGAACAGATTAAGAAAATGTGGTATTTACACACAATTCTATTTTACTCAGCCATGAAGAAGAATGAAATCTTGTCATTCACAAGTAAATGGATGGAACTGGAGAACATCATCTTAAGCGAAGTTAGCCAGGCTCAGAAAACCAAAAATTGTATGTTCTCCCTCATATGCAGACTTTAGACCTAAAACAAATGAAACAAATGCAATAATATTATTAGACTTGGGTCACATGCTAAGGGGAGAACACATACATGAGGAATAGGGAAAGGTAGGAAACCCAAGATTTGAAAGTGTTTGATGTGTCCGCTGCACAGGAGCTAATGTAGTAACCTTAAAACTACAGAGGTCAATATGGGAAGGTGACTGGGAAGTAGTGAAGAGGTTTGGTAGAGATGAATCAATTCGGTTTGTAATACACATGTGTATGGAAGCAATGCTAGGAATGTCTGTGTATAACTATCTTTATCTCAAACTAGCAAAAATGGTATGTCTTGTTATTGCTTATGTCTTCTCTTCAACAAAATTGGAGAAGAGGCAGAACAGTTCTGCCTGGAAGCAAGGAGGGGTGGAGGGGAGAGGGAAGGGGTGGGGGGCACCAGGTAGAAATGGCCCAAACAATGTTTGCAGATATGAATAAATAAAAAATAAACAAATTTTTAAAAAAGTAATTGATGGATAAATTATTTACAATTTCCTCTTACTGGGATGCAGAAAAACCATTTTTTGTCATACTACCTCAAATTTTTATTTAAACACCAGCTACTCAAAATGGGTAAGGGAAAATAACAAACATTTTTTTGTTGTTTGTATTTTTTTCCTAAGGTAATTTTTTTATTCATTTATTCATATGTGCATACATTGTTTGGGCCATTTCTCCCCCCTACTCCCCGCCCCCTTCTTCTCCTCCCAAACCCATTGCTTCCAGGCAGAATCTGTTCTTTCCTTATCTCTAATTTTGTTGAAGAGAAAGTGTAAGCACTAATAAGAAAGACAAACCGTTTTTGCTAGTTGAGATAGGATAGCTATACAGAGAGATTCCTAGCATTGCTTCCATGTACAAATGTGTTACGACCCAAGTTGATTCATCTCTAACTGATCTTTACACTGGTTCCTGATCCCCTTCTCATGTTAATCTCTGTTGCTTTAAGGTTTCTCTATTAGTTCCTCTGCAGTGGGGACATCAAGTACTATCATGTTTTGGGTTTCTTACCTATCCCCATACCTCCCATGTGTGCTCTCCCCTTATCATGTGACCCAAGTCCAACCACATTGCTGTATTTGCCTAGATCTAAAGACCGCATATGAGGGAGAACATATGATTTTTGGTCTTCTGAGCCTGGCTAACCTTTGCTCAGATTGATGTTCTCCAGTTCCATCCATTTTAAAGTAACAAACTTTCTGAGGAAGGAAATTCTCCTAAAATCTTTGAAAATAAAACAATATAAAGGTTCTTTTGTCATCAGTTAATAGCCAATAAATTATTTTCACAAAGTTAAATAATTATCACAGTGAATCACATTTTAAAATCTTAATATTTGTTCAATCATTGAAGTTACATTTCTGAACATAAGTTTATAAATAGGTTCATGTTAATAATAATTTTTTTTCAATACTGGGATTTAAACTTAGATCCTCCTCCTACCTATGCCCCCTGTGTAGCCAGGATCACACATCTGTACCACCATGCCTGGTTTGTTAGTTGAAATGGGGTATTGCTAACTTTTTTGCCGAGACTGAACTCAATCTGTAATCCTCCTGATCACCTTCCAAGTACCTGGGATTACAGAGATGTACTAGCATGCCCAGGCCAATAATAAATTTTTATTTGGTGTTAAGGTATCCTTTAGCATTATCTAGCTACTAAATTATTCAGTGATCTTGCTATTTATCTTGTCCTATAATAGTGACTTTCTTACCGTATAAGGTGTAACACTTTTAGTAGACAATGACAATCATTTATATAATTATTTTTTGGTAGAAATTAGAGCACTTAAAATAAAAGGCTTACCAAGAACCCAGACCATAATTAGCATTTCAGTCCATGTGAACTGGGTAGTTTTCACCCTGAAGATCTGTTTGGGGTAGTCAATGACAGTGATATTTGGCAGTGTGGCGATGCCTTCAAACCTGTCTGAGGCATTGAACACAAGCAAGCCCAGGAAGATGATGAAAGAAGCAGTGTGTGCCACAAACTTCATAAAAGGGCTTTGCAGAATTTTCCCCAGCTGTAATGAGAGAGAAGGAAAGGAAGAAGGAGAGGGAGAGACAGAAGGAAAGAGAGAGGGAGAGAAAGAGGGAGAGGGAGAATGAAACTTTTAGAAAATCTAATTCCACTTATGACAATAGTATATAGGATAATAAATAAATAAATAAATAAATAAAGGAAATGGGAACACTTAAAAAATGTATTTCTGAAAAGGGGAGTACATATATGGGAGGTCTGGAGATAGGTAGAAAACCCAAAACATGAAAGTGTTTGATGTCCCCACTCCAGACGAACTAATACAGAAACATTAAAGCAACGGAGGTCAACAGGAGAAGGGGATCAGGAACCATTGTAAGGATCAGTTAGAGATGAATCAACATGGCTCATAACACATTTTTACATGGAAGCAATGTTAGGAATCTCTCTGTATAGCTGTCCTTAACTCAACTAGCAAAAACACTTTGTCTTCCTTATTATGCTTATGTCTTCTCTTCAACAAAATTAGAGATAAGAGCAAAACAGGTTCTGCCTGGAAGTGAAGGAGGGGAGGAGGGGAGAGATGAGGGAAGGGGGCAGGGGAGAGAAATGACCCAAACAATGTACGCACATGTGAATAAATGAATAATAAAAAAAATTTATTTCTAAGCCAGATGCCAGTGGCTCATGCTTGTTATCCTAGCTACTCAGGAGGCAGAGATCAAGAGGATTGAAGTTCGAGGCCAGCCTGGGCAAATGCTTTGTGGGACCCTATCTAGAAAAACCTTTCACAAAAACAGTACTGGTGGAGTGGTTCAAGGTGAAGGCCCTGAGTTCAAGCCCCAGTACTGAAAAAAATCTTATTTCTATTTCTGAAGAGCTATACATTATGAAAACTACTCTTTTTAGGGAGATTCTTTCACCAAAGATAATTTAATTTAGTACAAAGTTCATTGTTTCCTAATGTCTGATTTGTCTTAGGATGTACTGCATCAGCAGATGCCCTTCTGGGAATCACAAGGCATATACTGGTTCTTTTTTTTTTTTTACCATTTTAGAATTTATAAATTTTGCTTTTTTTTATTATTCATATTTGCATACAAGGCTTGGGTCATTTCTCCCCCCTGCCCCCACCCCCTCCCTTACCACCCACTCTGCCCCCTCCCTCTCCCCCACCCCCTCAATACCCAGCAGAAACTATTTTGCCCTTATTTCTAATTTTGTTGTAGAGAGAGTATAAGCCATAATAGGAAGGAACAAGGGTTTTTGCTGGTTGAGATAAGGATAGCTATACAGGGAGTTGACTCACATTAATTTCCTGTGCGTGTGTGTTACCTTCTAGGTTAATTCTTTTTGATCTCACCTTTTCTCTAGATCCTGGTCCCCTTTTCCTATTGGCCTCAGTTGCTTTTAAGGTATCTGCTTTAGTTTCTCTGGGTTAAGGGCAACAAATGCTAACTAAAGTTTTAGATGTCTTACCTATCCTCACCCCTCCCTTGTGTGCTAAAGCTTTTATCATGTGCTCAAAGTCCAATCCCCTTGTTGTGTTTGCCCTTGATCTAATGTCCACATATGAGGGAGAACATATGATTTTTGGTCTTTTGGGCCAGGCTAACCTCACTCAGAATGATGTTCTCCAATTCCATCCATTTACCTGAGAATGATAACATTTCGTTCTTCTTCATGGCTGCATAAAATTCCATTGTGCATATACTGGTTCTTGCTCTTACTTTTACATGAAAGACTGCAAAGTCAAAGTTCTTAGGGACTGGAGAAAAAAAGTTCAAGTTAAGCCAGCATAATTCTTTATTTGTAATTGCAAATGTTATGATGAGTATGTAGACTTAATACAGGCATTAAAAACCCTCTGAAGAATGAAGAAGTAACTAAAATCACAGTAAATTTTAGTTTTTATTTCTAAATATGTTTAAAGGTATCCTCATATATGTTTAAAAGGCAGAAAATGTTAGAATCAAGATAAATATTCTATATGCTACTACTCTAATAGGGAGATACAGAATAGTTAAAAACTTTAGGTTAACAATCAAAAGTCATCTGTCAGTTTGGAAAGTCATGTTATAGTACAAAAGTGTTTCTAAAGTTGTTTATAATTCTTTTGAATTAACTCCTTAAAAATCTCCTGTGACATAGTGTCCTTAAAAGTCCCATATTCTAAATCAAGAGGCCCTGAGTTTAATCCCCAGTACCACATATAAAAAGGTCCCATGTTCTAGTAGAAATGAAAAATAATTCCTCCTGTTTCCATGGCCTCCACAGTGTAAGAATTAGGTACATTTAGATGATTTATCAAATAATTTCTCTATTCTACATATTCACAAACTGCCTTTTAATTCAGTTGGTGATCTTAAAAAACATTCAAGTTCACATTTAAAAGACCTTAAGTTGCCATGTGCTGGTGACTCATGCCTATAATTCTAGCTACTCTGGAAGCAGAAATCAGGAGGATTGTGGTTCAATGTCAGCTCTGGAACCCTATCTTAAAACTAACAACACAAAAAGAGGCTAGTGGAATGGCTCAAGTAAGTGGTAGAGTGCCTGCCTAGCAAATGTGACAAACAAACAAACAAATAAATAAATAAATAAAAGACTTTAACCTTTTCTTTCTTTCTTTTTTTTTTTTGTGTGTGTGTCTGGACTGGGCTTGAACTCAGGGCTTTATGCTTACAAAACAGGAACTCTACTGACAGATCCATACCTCTAGTCCATTTTGTTCTGATAATTTTAGAAATGGGAGTCTCATGAACTATTTGCTTGGGCTGGCCTAGAACCACAACCCTCCTGATCTCAGCCTCTCAACTAGTTAGGATCACAGGCATGAGCCACTGGCACCTGGCAAAGATCTTAACTTTGAACAAATATCTAATATCTGAATTTGATGTCAACAAATGACCAAAGAATGCCAAGTATTTCTGGGATTAAACATGAGTGCACACAGACAAATGTCACATCTTCCATAATAGGCACAGAAAAATAAACAATACGGCTGCACATCATTGCTGTCACAAAGCTGGAAAGAAGGTGCCTTAGGAGTAGTTTATCCATGGGACAAGTAATTTCTTGGGAGTGGTTAAATCTGTTTTTTCCCAAAGGTTCTCTTAAAACTAAATACAATTAATAGAAAGCAACATGCTTATCTTTGAAATGGTATACATGTGAAGAATTCTTGCTATGTCGTCTTTGTAATGTAGGATAGGTGGTATGTAGAAGCTATAAATGGAGTTTCCAGAAATGACTCAATTCCCACCTTTCCTTTTGCTACTCAGCAAAATTCACCACACAGTTAGTTGCACTTGTAAAAATGAACAAGAAGACAAAAGAGTAGATTCTAAGATTCTTCTTTCAAATTTAATGTAATGCTTTGACTGATTAAGCTGCCTGAAGAGACAAAATGCATTGGAAATAGAGATTTTCAAATTCATTTCCTCCAGAAAGGGAAATTATGTGAGTGGATTATGGTTTTTGTCTTACTGCATGCTGTCTCATATTATTTATATTTTAGTCTTTAGTGTTTATGTATTTGAAGAATCATAAAGAAATTTTCCCTGATACATAACAAAAGAACTTAGTCTAGTCATCAAACTTTATCAAAATGGCAAACTTTCTGCCTTAAATTGTACTGGGCAACTCAACATTGAAGTAAGATGGATGAACGTTTTCACACATATATGGTGCCTGTGGAGGAGGCAGCCAGGGGAGACTGCAGAGCCAGAGGGTTGACAGATTTCCAGGGTCATTTATAAGTGGCCTTGACTCATTTTGCCTGAGACTGCCTCTGATTTAAACAAAACCAGATTTCAGAATATAAAAACAGGATTAAAGGCTCTCAAAACAGATCTCTCTCTCTCTCACACAGTGCCCTTTATTAACTGAATACAGATTCTGTTAGCAAGACCCCTGTTCCTTTCCATGTCTTCCATAAGAGATTTCTTAAGCTCAACCAAATTTGCTCTACATGGGCAAGTTGAGAGGAGAAAAAAGGTAGTAAACAAATGATCAAAGCAAAACTAACCAATGTAAAAAATACAACCCCCACAAACTCAAATTCTATATTTTAAAGAAACTTCCAAAAGTACAAAGGGCTAAGGGAAGCTGACAGGCACCTATTTGAAGACTGGGCATTACTGCTGTGCTCAGTGTGCTTAATATACTCAGTCTTAGGTTGCTTTGTACAGGTTCAAAGTTCAAATGAGCTCCCAGGTTAACTATTTCTTGGGGCTATGTATGTGGAGCTGTCTATTTCCCTTTCCAGCCAGCCCAGTTGAGGTTTGGCTTATTAAGCTGTCAGTAGATTTGCACAAAGACTACTTTACTCAAGCTGCTTTTCTTCTTTTGTGTTGACCATGGGGATTTTATCTGAAAAACCCAAGTATTTTATGCCTACAAATGTGATCTATCCTGCTAGTACCAAATCCTTTCTCATCCATTATTTAAATTGATCCAGTTACTAAAAAGCAGACTCCATGTTCTTGAGTAATTAACATTCAGGGTAAAAGAGATGGGAGACTTCACTATCAAGCTTTTTTCTTTTCCTCCCAAAGGTACACACTACATCCACCACAGATGAACAAGTGTAGCGAGCCAGTAAGGTGCAATCCAGTAGCCGATGGTGAGGAATGGAAGACCCAGGCCACCACCAGCACAACCAGACACTTGATGGCTGTAGTCTGTTCCTGCAGTCCTGAGAGGTTCTCATACCAGATGGTCAAAAGCTGCTGCTGGCAGTTGGGGTGAGCTACAAACTGTTGGGAGGTGGAGAGAGAGAGATAGGTTACCATCCACTGTTGACAGGTCAGCAAGTGAGTCCTAAGAATATTAATACATGTTTTCCAGAATACAGTTCTGGTAACCCTCCTTTGCCTTCCCTCCATTTTCCAAAATTTACTTCATAACTATTGGAATAACTAAAGTGAAAACAAGACAGTAAAATCAATGTCATCCTTACTAGTTATTTCAGATAGAAACCTTCCAAAATTTATTGATTCCCCTGTGAACTGAGGGTGACATCTGATTTCTTTGTGAAAATATGGCCCATCTTGTTCCAGCTAACTTGCCTTTGGTTCAAAACTGAATGCAAAGTCATTCAGAAAAGTACTTGGCAGTTGACTATTGCTGAAAGAGAAATGTCATTAAATATCATGAGTAATCCCTAAAATCTACATGTATGAAAAACATATCTCTGCTGTGCCCAGTGAGTAGGGTTGTATCATTACTGAAAATGTGGAAAAGATCTGCAAAGTTATCAGTGAGCCCACAGATATTATGCTGGGTCCACGCTGTGCTGTCACTTCTCTCCTATTTTAGAGATCTGTCCTTTTTCAAAAAATTATTTAATACTTTTTTTTTGGCCATACTGGGGTTTTAACTCAGGGCCTCATGCCTGACTCTCTACCACTTGGGCCATGCCCCCTGTCAGAAAAAAGGTGACCTATCCCCACCTTTCTAAAAAAAATTTCCTCCTCTATCAGAGGTCACAGGTCAAAAGAACACAAACATTTACCACCAGCAGGTTTTCTTTTCCTTTTCCTTTTTCTTTTGAGACAGGGTCTTGTTATCTACCCAAACTATCCTTGAACTCTCAATCAACCTGTCTCAGCTTCCTGAGTGCAGGCATGTACCACCACACCTGACCCAGAAGTTCTTTTATAACCACAATTCTAATCAGGAAAAATAAATACATTATACTCATTTCAGCTCTGCCATTTAATTTATTTCATTTTTTGCCATTTGAATATATTAAAGTCATCTGCCTGTATCATGTAGATGGAGTACATTTCTTTAAGGCCCATCCTTATTCAGGTATCAGGACGTATTGTAATTAGGCCAGTATATATAGGTTCCTATGACAAAAAGTTGCCCATTTGTGGCTAGATATGTATTTCTTTGAATGACCAGGTATAGTTTGCCTAAGTTCAGGAATTACAAAAAGTCATTAAAAATCAACTCTGAATGCCATCTTACTTTTTCAAAGGAGTGTTTAGCTGCAACACTAAAAAAAATAAAAATACCACTTTCTTCTACAAAATAAAATAAACAAAAACAATGAACCTTATGTGATGGACCTTGAAATGTTTTTGGAAACTTTGAGAGGCAGAGAGAGCAGCTGTAGTTCGTATTTGTTAAAAGAGTTCATCTTTCATCAGTTCTAGCTAATAATTCTAATGATGCTTAGCAACTCTAGGCAATTAATTCCTCAGCTGTTCATAAATAGTACACTCATAAAGAATGAGTGTAATTTCCTTCAGCAATTTTAATTGAAAAAACAGCCATCATATGTTTTGGGCAACTTTGTCAAAAATCAGGTGGGTCTAATAGCAAGGATCCATATCTGGGTTTTGTATTCTGTTCCATTGGTCTTCACATCTGTTTTTGTGCCAGTACAATGCTGTTTTTATTGCTATGACTCTGTAGTATAGTTGAAGTTGGGTATTTTGTTACCTCTAGCATTGCTCTTTTTGCTCATATTGCCTTGGCTATTCTCAGTCTCATGTTGTTTCCAAATGATCTTTAGGGTTGATTTTTCAATCTCTGTGATGAATGTCATTGGAATTGCAATGGGAATTGCACTGAACATGTAGATTGCTTTTGGTAGTATAGTTTAGTCATTTTTCACAATATTGATTCTGATGGAGAAAAAAACAGACTCTTCAATACATGTTGCTGAGAAAACTGGATATCTGCATACAGAAAACTGAAACTAGATTCATGTCTTCCACTCTATACATGTATCAACTCAAAGTGGATTAAGGACCTGAATATAAGATGTAAAACTTTGAAACTTGAAGGAAAGAGCAGAGAATACACTAGAACTAATAGGAATAGGAATGAGTTCCTAAATAGAAGCACAAGTGACTCAGCAACTAAGAGAATGGATTGACAAATGGGACTACATAAAACTAAAAATCTTCTGCACAAGAAAAGAAATGGTTACCAGATTAAGAGGCAGCCCACAGAATGGGAGAAAATCTTTGACAGTTACATCTGACAAGGGATTAATAAACAGAATATACAGGGAGCTCAAAAAACTAAACTCTCAAAAAAATCAATAACCCAATGAAGAAATGGGCAAGTGAAAACAACACAGCTTTTTCAAAGGAAGAAGTCCAAATGTTTTTTTTTTTAAATGAAGAAATGCAAATCAAAACCACCTTAAGATTCCACCTTACCTCTTTTAGATGGCTACCATCAAGAACACAAACAACAACAAATGTTGGCAAGAATGTGGGGGAAAAGGAACCCTCGTACACTGTTGGTGGGAATGTAAATTAGTGCAACCACTATGGAAAACAGTATGGAAGCCCCTCAAAAAAAAAAAAAAATAGAACTGCCATGTGATCCAGCAATTCCACTTGATGAAATATAAGTCAAGATGCAATAAAGACACTTGCACATTGGTGTTTACTGCAGCACTTTTCACAATAACCAAGCAATGGAAACAACCCAGAAGCCCTACAACTGATGAATGGATTAAGAAAACGTATACATATATAGACACATATATATGTATTAGAATTTTATGGAGTTTTATTCAACCATAAGGAAAAAATGAAACCATGTGGTTTGAAGGTGATGCATACAATTGGAGGACATCATGTTCAGTGAAACAAGCCAGGCTCAGAAAGACAAAGGCTGCATGTTTTCTCTCATATGTGGGAGACAGACACAATACAAATATAAGCAATATTATGAAAAGCAGTTTACAAGAAGGGGAGGTCAGTAAAAGAAGGATGTTTAAAAGGTGAATATGGGTAATGTACTTTCTACACATGAATGAATTATAGAAATTTTGAACCTATTGAAATCAAGATAAGAAGGCAAACAAGGTAGAAAGAGGGAAAATAGACAGCATGAGCCAATTCGAGTTATAGTACATATATACATAGAAATTCACAAGGAAACTCCCTGTAGAGCTATCTCAAGGAAAAATGACTTTTTTCAAAAACAGAGAGCAGGAAGGTAAAGCAGGTCTTGTCCAGGGTTAGTACTAGTGGGAGCGGGTAGAATATAAGGAAAGGGTGAAGGAGGCTGAATGTAGTGGAAATGTTATGTACTCATGTATGAAAATGGAAAAATGATACACACTGAAACTATTTCAGGAGTGGGGGGAGAGGATGTAAAGAAGAATGAGGGTGAATTCAACAATGATGTATTGTAAGAACTTTGTTAAATGTCACAGTGTACCTCCAGTACAACAATAATATAAAAAAGTATGGACAAACAAAACAAAACAAAAATTTTAAAAAGGCCAGGCATGGTGGCTTATGCCTGTAATTCTAGCTCTTTGGAAGGCATATGTAGGAGGATCATGGATCTCAGGTCAGCCCAACAGCAAGCAAAAGACCCTACCTGAAAAAATAACTAAAAGCAAAAGGGACTGGGGACATGGCTCAAGTCAAGTATAAGGCCCTGATTCAACACTACCAAAAGAAAAGAGGTTCACCTCCCAAGGTATGAAGTGGAGGTACAATCTTTCTTACATCTCCACCCCTGAACTGAAGTTCACACCCTTGGGGGCCAGCATGTAAGAGGACTTGAAGGCCCACTGACAGAGGTAGTGAGAATGCGTTTATAAATATTATACTTGAAATATTATTAAGTATTTCAATTAATTCAGTTATCAATTATTTGCACTAATATTAACAGGGAGTATTTGGGGATTTAAAGAAATGTTACATTTTCTTGTTTGATGAGCAACCTGAAAGCAACCTGAAAAAAAAAAAAAACAGATTCCTATGGACTGAATGTTTGTGTCCTGCTCCAAATTCACATTTTGAAATCCTAACCCTACTTGTGATGATATCAAGGGGTGAGGCTTCTGGGAAGCCTTTAGGTCATGAGAGTGGGCTCTCATGATGGGCTTGGTTCCCCTGTAAAAGAGACCCCAGAAAGCTCTCTGGCTTTTTCTTCCATGTGAGAGTACTATGAGAAGTCGGCAGTCTGCAACTCAGAAAAGAAACCTCACTAGAACCTGGCCATGCTGGCACCCCATCTCAGACTGCCAGCTTCCAGAACTATGAGAAAGGAAAATTCCATTGTTTATAAATCACCCAGACTATGGTGCTTTGCTACAGCAGCCCAAACTGATGAAGACTCATATTTGATTGTAAGTTCTTTTCAATTCAGTTATAAAAATTCCAAGGCCTGATGCTCACTGCTAATTATATATTAGATTAATTAGATAATATTTATTAATTATTAATTATATGTTAGAACACTGCTAACTATTAATTATATATTAGATCTCCTTTCCAAACCAAGAGTTTGCCATTCTTCCAAAGTTTGATTTTTTTTTTGTTGTTGTTCTGGGTTAGGGTACATTGTGGCATTTACAAAAGTTCTTACAATATATCAAATATTGTACTTGAAATTGCTCCCTCCACCATTGGGTCCTTCTGCCCCAGCCTCCCAAATTCTGGTATTCCATGCCTAGAAAGATTCTAGTTTTTGAAAATAGAGTTTCACATTCCAATGGAATCATTACTTGAACTCACAAGAAAGACTGTGGATATAATCAAGATTGAAGAATCCCTGTGTCTATGTGAAACTTCCTTGGATTCTTGTTGAGAGTCCCAAATTTCCATTTCTGCCCCATACTATATTTGGATTATTTCCTTCTTGCTTCACTCCTCCCTCTGTAGCTCCTAAATGTCTATCTCATTTATTTATTCACTCTTCAAAATGTCTTAAACCTAGTATGAACCAGGCAGTGTTTTGTACATTTGACAGAAGATAAAAATAGGAG